GGGAGGAAGGAAGGAAGGAAGGAAGGAAGGAAAGCTCATACAAAGCTCATACCAAACGGCCCCAGTCTGTCTGAGAGTACATACTAGGATGGAAAAAAGCTCTGATGCTCAGGGGCTCAGTGCAGCAGCAGTGGCACCTTCTTTCTCCCAAAGGCAGAGCACACGTAGCTGTAGACCCCAGTCCCCAGCACATGGCCAGACCCTGCCGAGCCCCTGTCTGTGTGCTGCTGCTGGGAGCTCAGCCCGGCCCCGCAGTGATGCCACCAGCAGTGATGCCACCAGCAGTGACACCACCAGCAGGTGATCAGTGGCCCATGAGGACAGTGTTGGCCACCTCAGAGCAGTCCTCAGTGGAGGTGGGTCCACGTTGCCCGCACTCTCTGCACGGGTGGCACATTTGTTGGCACTGTGGAGAGTGCCGTGCGGGGATGAAATACCTTCCTTTTGCGTGAAAGAAGGAAACGATTTTGGCATAGGAGAGGTAGGTGCAGCTTCTGAAAGAGCAGCAATGCATCAGCTACCACCACTGTGCTGTAACCTCAACAGTAAAGGAAGGACATCAGTCCTGCCCAGCTGATAATGCTTCCTCAGCACTACAGTCACATAAAAATGGACAGAAATGGATATTTACTGAAAATATTTACCAAAAAAGGTACATTTAAATCTTCTTTCAGTACTTACTTTTCCTGACTCCATGAGAGGCAAACTATGTGGGGATCCTCTTTCGACTAAACGAACTCTGTAAAATACATGTAAGATAATATGCATAATACACAGTTTTGTTTGTTTGCTTTTCATTAACATTTATTTCTGAAAGGAATGGTCAGTGGCTGCAGAGTTTAATGTTATTTTTGGAACAGATGAAACTTATATCCTGTAGAATATAATCAGACCCACTATTTAATCTTAGTCAAGATTTATGACTGGGAAAATAATGAAAAAAAGATGTGTGTGAATGTTTTGTTAAATAATAAATTCTTCAAATGCAGTTGGTGCCTTTTATTTGTTTTTGATAGACTTTTGAAAATGGAATTCCATGCACAAATTTATTCACAATATGAGGGATCTAAAATATTGATTACCCACAAGACCATCATAAATGCCAGGGCACAGACACAAAAGCATGTGAGCTGAGTGAGCAACCACATTCCACAAGTAGCTAACAGTTAAATCATATCAAAATAACTCATAACCTGGCTCAGCTTCACATCTGCATTTGCAATCTTTTAATTATTCTCAATGGACTGCGGTTGATAAACATTTTCAGCTTCACAATTTGCAATCTTTTAATTATTTTCAATGGACTGCGGTTGATAAACATTTTAATATTAAAAAAATCATTTCATGAAAAATGTTATTACTGCTGAGGACAGACCCTTTCTCTGAGTGTGGCTTTCTGGTTCTCTCTCTTCCTTTCTTAGCTAACTTATTTTCCCACTAAAGGAACAGGAATGGCATCTCTCCAGTATGATGGTCTGGAAGGAAATTCCTCATTTTCAATGGACTGCGGTTGATAAACATTTTAATATTAAAAAAATCATTTCATGAAAAATGTTATTACTGCTGAGGACAGACCCTTTCTCTGAGTGTGGCTTTCTGGTTCTCTCTCTTCCTTTCTTAGCTAACTTATTTTCCCACTAAAGGAACAGGAATGGCATCTCTCCAGTATGATGGTCTGGAAGGAAATTCCTCATTTAACCTTAGAAAAGCACTCAGCAGGTTAGAATGGAAGAGACTTTCAAGTCCTAAAATAGCCAATGATCTCAGCCAGTAGATGGCAAAGAAAATTTGGTAACA